ATATATATATATATATATATATATATATATACTTAAATAAAAAGTTTTATTTTATTTTCTTAAGTAAAAGTAAAATAAAAAATTGATGTTGTTTGATAATAATACTAGAGAAATAGAAGATATTTGAATGAAGGATTGATTTTTTTTTTATTGATTTATATAGATTAATTAAATAAGTTAAATTGATTTTATAAATTAGTTTAAAAAATTCCTTTATTGGTATTCACGTGATAGATACGAACGAGAGGATAAATGTGTAAAATAAAAGCATAATACCTCCAAAATTTGTCATGTTCTCATTATCACAAAAAATTGGTGATCCCCCAATTTCAACTTTTTATTATTAAACTCACTCTAATAGTTAACAAATATTATATTTGAGATTTTAACATCAAACTTATTTTCTTATAGTATATTATGTATTTAAAATTATAACTTAAAATTGTTAACTAAACTAAATAATTTTGTATCAGTTTAAGCGATAAATTCTTATTTCACTTACCTACCAAACGAATAAATAAATATGTTTATTTCTTCCTGATCTTTCACCTATAAAATATAGTATAAATACTAAATACATGTATACTTTTCGTTTCTTTAATAATTACTTTTTATTAGTATTTTGAAAAAATTAAACACTGTTTTTTTTTTCCCTAAAAATAAACTATATAAAACATGAATTAAAAATTTATTTTGAAATTCAGATTGCACAAGTTGTTTCAAGTCTCAATTATGCGAACGTACTGGTTATGTTTCCTATTTTTCTTATTACTTGTTTAATTCGATCTGGATTTTAATTAGTTAAGTTAATTAAATTATGACTTAGACGTTAACTAGTTTAGTTTGAATTAGGATGATCTTTTAACAGTTTAAATTTTTATTTAAAATTAAATGTATGTAAAAAACTTTATTTTTAATATTATATATTAGAGTAGTTGAGATATTTCATACCTCTTATAATTACACACAAATAAATATTAAAAATTATAAAAAGTTGTTCCAATAAGAAATAAAAAGATTTATTTTTTAAAATTTAAAGGAAATAATAATCTATTAAAAATAAAGACGAAAAAAAGAGTGAATTATAAAATATACCCTTTTATAGGTATAGATAAATTGTAACTAAATTATACCTATAGTTTTAAATAAGAAATAAAGGTTTGTCATTCGACTGTTATAGAAATCACTATATCGTTTTCAAATTGATTGTCATTGCTTCTTTGATTTGATGTTCGAAGGATTGTGTATCGTTATGATCAATTAGTATTTAGCCAATTAAACATTATAACACACATTAATAGGCGTTTCAAACATATATGTCACTGTTGCTCAATCTTTACAAGTCATTATGATTTAATTTATTATATTGTCATCTGATATAGTATTTGAGATCTTATAAGAAAGTCTCCATGATGCAAAGAGGACCATCAAAATCTATTTTTAAAAAAATAATTAAGAAAAATTATAAAGATGTACTCAACGATCACAGTTAAGAACTTGCAAAATCTAATTTTGAAAACCTTAATTTGAATTCAATTCCTGTTTGGAACCACGGTATATACCACATAGGTACTATACAATAGATGCGAAAAGTAAAAGATATGTCCTCATGCTAACGATATCGCTTCACGAACACTAAACAAATCTAAAATTAGATTTGTTATTGAAAATTCCAGCGGTAATAGATAGAGATTGAGGTAAAGAGCGCGTGATTGATTAATGAAAAATGGTTAAACTCTTCCCCGTTTTCTGGTATGTTTCCTTAGACGCGGCTAGCTTTGAACAAGCAATGACGATGTGAAAATAAGAAAATATTGTGACATTTATCCTTTTGTTTCGAATTTCCAATCCCAATTCCCAACAGCGAAAATGAAAGGAAGAATAGAGAGAGAGGGTTGAACCAAGTCAAAACCCGCGGCAAGTGTGGCCCCAAATAAGATACATTGACCAACTTCACTATGATGAATAAATAAAATAATGAAAAGAAAAAAAACGTAATAATAAAAGTAAGATTTTGATATTGACGTGAGAAGGGACAAGTGGAGGTGCCACAATCGTTTCTCATAGATTTGCAAAGATCTCAAAGATTTGGATACTCCGAATCTTTCTATTCACTTTATTACTCTTTTCTCCTCTGAATAAAAACCACCCATTTCCCAACACTTCTCTTATCACCAACCTTTCTATTTCTATTCTCTCTATTTCTCATGGCCATCGCCGGCTCTCCTTCCGCTGCGCCTCAGCTTCACGTTCTCGCCGTCGACGATAGTCTCGTCGATCGCAAGGTCATTGAACGCTTGCTCAAGATTTCTTCATGCAAAGGTCATTCACGTTTGCGAATCCTCTGTCTTTCAATTGCTTGTTTGGGAATTGGGATCGGTTCTGAAACGTTTTCGATGGATTTTTTTTTCAGTGACGGTTGTGGAGAGTGGAACGCGTGCTCTTCAGTATTTGGGGCTTGATGGAGAGAATGATGCTCTTGGTTTTGATGTAAGCGAATTCTGCTTTTTGGGTTATGGTTTTGTTTGTATGGTGGTTGTTTGGTGCTTATGTTTTTGTTTTGGCTGGCTGTGGTTGCAGAGTGTTAAGGTTAATCTCATAATGACGGATTATTCCATGCCGGGGATGACAGGGTATGAATTACTCAAGAAAATCAAGGTGTGCAGTTAATCTTTTAAGGGTGTTAGTCTTATTATGAAATCTAGTTTTTTTTTTCCTGGTTTTGGGTTGGGTTGAAGGTTGCTATTTAAATTGTGTACAGGGAGGGAGTTGTTTTTTAATCATACTTCGCCGTGTTAATTTCAGCAGGAGTCTTCTGTGTTTAGAGAGATTCCGGTAGTGATCATGTCGTCGGAGAATGTTTTGACTCGAATTGATAGGTAAGCTCTTGGTTGACTTATGCGCCTTTTGGATCAAATGGAATTTTTGGAATATGTTGGGTTTTCCAATGAACTGTTGACAGTTTCTTAATTCTGTAACATTTACAACTTGATGGTGTTTGTTGATTGTGTCTATGAACTGACTAGGTAATGCATCAAATATCTTAGGAAAGTCGAGATCTACCGTCATATTGCATATACAATTTGATATTTCTTGTGAACGATATGCGTATTTAGACAGGATTGATGAATCCTGTTCATAAGCTGAATTCCATTGATATCCTCGTTTTTAGAGTTCAAACCTGATTCTGACTATGATAGTTACCTCTAAACATCATTTACTACCGAATCAGAAAAGGAAAAAAAAAGTGTAGATCTGAAATATTGAGCCGGCAACATGGAGGCCAGAGTGTTAAATTCAATACAAGTCTTTGGGGCATAAGCTGGCACCGTGATCTGCTCTGCCATGTTTGACACCTAACACTAATTATGCAGCAAGCCACCAACCCATATGAAATAATGAATCATAATAGGGATTAGGGAGACAAGCGTGGAAGATTTGTGTATTATTGTGGTTTGCAAATTTTAAATAGTAACCAAATTTTTTTTTATCGAAATTCCCACAATAAGTCCCTTTCCTTCGACAAAACATAGCCAAAATCCTTTACCTTAAATGGGAGGTTTTGTGCCATCAATTCGTTGATGCTCTGTTTCGTTGGCAATCATGTGTACGCGTTTTAGTTAGTGAACAGAATTGATGCGGCTTTTGGATTTCAAACGTTGGGGAGCATGTTACTCGAGTTTCCATTGTCCCCAAAATTATATGCATGTGTATTGTAATACTGAGCTTTTTTGGTGATATAAACCTATTGGTAATTTATCTAATTCAATAAAATATTACATCATACTTTACACCGAGCAATAATAAGGATCAAGGTATCAAGTTTGTGTGCTACTGCTTCTATTTGGCAACGAATATTTCTAATTATGTTTCTTAACAGTTCAGTTATATGCTAATTTGCAGATGCCTGGAGGAAGGAGCAGAGGATTTTCTATTGAAGCCAGTCAAATTGGCAGATGTAAGACGCTTAAAAGATTTCATCGTGAAAGGGAAAGTGAAGGAAGGGGAGAAAAGATCTCACAAAAGAATCCGATCAATTGATTGCAGTTCACCTCTATCTGCAACATGCTCACCAATGTCTCTTCCATGTGATCCATCAACATCATTACTCTCACCATTATCTGCAAAGAAGGCTAGATTGTGACCAGGGATTGAGTTGTGTCTCCAATTTTGCCCACACTAGTGTTCATATGACAAAAGCATGTGGTGTATTTTGCATTTGTTCAGCAATCTACTATACCTTAGGAAAGAGAGAAGCAAATGTTAGAATCGCTAATTCTTTGGTCTTTTGTTTGTGCTGATCTTGCTTATGTACAGAGATTTATCAAAATCAAAATTTGACCATCTTTTTACGTAAGCACCTTGTTCTTTCGATCTGCACTGAACCAAATAAAATTTGATTAATAATAATAATAATAAACTAGAGCATGGCATGCCACGCTCAACAGTAAAAAATTGAAAGAATTACGCAGTGCTGATAGTTGAGGGAAAGTAACAGCAAGACGATACAAGTTTTTAATATAGATGAAAACTTTTCATCAATTTTCTTCTTCCCCCCTCATTTCTCCTTTATCCTTAGGTGTTTTTAATTTTATTTTAATAAGAGTTTGATTTGTTCAGGAAAGGGGTAGTGGACTACAGGGCAAGATTTCCTTGTATTATTTTGCTGTTTTCTATTACTAGAAGGCCAAAACTTTTCAATGCCTACAAGAGAAAAGATGAGTTGAACACCTGTCCATTTTGCAAATTTTCACTAATTATTAATCGATTCTCATTAATATTTTGGAACCTACCAAAAAGTACTTATAGAACAAATAACTGAAGATGCGTGTTTTCAATCCAATCTCTCTGAGCACAGCCGACCGTCAGTGCAACAAATAAGTAGACTCAAGGCCCTAAAAGCATGAGATGGCAAAAAGAACTTATTACCAATGCCGCAGCTGCTGCAAGACTGATGCCTTCCAAGTTACAATTTTTATAACCGGCATCATTCTCAGAGAAGCATTATTATTGCTCCTAATTAGTAATTACCAATGGCCATAGATCTCAAGGTGGTGCGGGTTCAAGTTCAACCGTTACATCCACACCAAAAACAAAGGAACAATTATAATCCACCATCCAAAAACTGTCTGACCTATGTGTGATTTCATTGGGCATCAATTTGGAATTGTCATCTGTGAGGGCAATTTATGTCCCTACTGACATGACATAGGACCTCATTAAGAGATTAATACAAACCTTGCCTATGACAACTATCACATTGAAATTGTCAGCAACCCTAGTTAGACACACTGAAATGAAAGATGTTCTATAAGATTCTACAACATACTATTTTCATTTCTTCTAAATTACCATCATGTGTTTTTGTCATCCAACAGTTCTTATTCTCTCTGTGTACTCCTTGGTTATTTCTCCTTATTCAACCTACTATACATGCTACATGTTGATGTGCCTCTAGCCTGTGATCACATGAACCTTTCAACATCTAGTATGGCATAATTGGATTTGTTCAAGAAAGGGTAGTGGTCGAATTTTTGACTAAAATAATATTTTAAAAAAATAAAATAAAAATAACACTTATACAAAAATATTTACAGAACTATACTTGTTTACCGTTCATAGTTCAGAATTCGATTCTCAGGGAACCGAATTCTGATCAGGATTAATTTATTACTTTTTTTATGCCCAGAACCGAATGTTGAGTACTTTTTAATATTTTTTTTCATTTTAGACTGAGAAATGTGTAAATTTCGCAACTGGAATGGGCCGTTCTCCAAGCATAACTTAAATTTTGGAACAAGCCGTTCCAAACAAAGATTTAAGGTCTTTTTAATAATTTGGAACGGGTCGTTCCAGTTTTAGAACGAACTGTTTTGTGCTATAAAAAGGTCTTTTTAGTCATGTGTATATTTGTTCATTTAGAACGGACCGTTCTGCAATTAGAACGGCCCCGTTCTGAATCCAATTTTTGTCCTTCCTCAGAAATGAAAACACAAAATAATAATAATAATAAATTAACCCTGCTCAAAATTCAGTTCCCGGGAAATCGAATTTTAAGTTATGAACTGTAAACATGTCTAGTTCTGCAAATATTTTTGTGCAAGTGTTATTTTTGTATTTTTTTTATAAAAATATTATTTTAGTCAAAAATTCGGTAGTGGTCTAGCGGGCAAGATTTCCTTGTATTTTTTTTTTCTGTTTTCTAGAAGGCCAAAACTTTTCATTGCCTACAAGAGCAAGGTATGAGTTAAACACCTGTGCATTTGGCTAATTTAAATATCTCAGAAGCTTGTAGGTGAGTCCAAATTGAATGGCATTTTCATTAATAATTAATCAATTCACATTAATATTTTTGCAACCTACCAAAAAACCATTACAACCACACCATAAACAAAGGAACAATTATAACCCACCATCCGAAAACTGTCTGACCTATGTATGATTTCATTGGAAATAGATCCCCTGACTTTGGAGGGGAAAAGTTAGGGTAACTTTACACATTTAAACTATTGGATTTGTAATAGTAGATCAGATTGTGACACGTGTACATTTAAGTTAAAATATATTTTGTACACGTATCACAATCTGAGCTATTATTACAAATCCAACGATTAAGATGTGTTAAGTTACCATAACTTTGATATCTCAAAGTCAGAAGATCCGGATCGAATTTCATTGGGCATCAATTTGGAATTGTCATTTGTGAGGGAGATTTATGTCCCTAATCCTACTGACATGACATAGGCCCTCAGAAAGAGATTAATACTAACCTTACCTATGACAACTATCACATTGAAATTATCAGCGACCCTAGTTAGACACATTTGAACTGAAAGATGTTCTACAACAAACTATTTTCATTTCTTCTAAATGTCATCATGTCTTTTGGCCATCCAACAGTTCTTGCTCTATTTGTGTACTCTTTTGTTCTTTCTCTATAATAATGCTTCCACATGTATTCATGCTATATTGTTGATGTACCTTGTCGCATGTGTTGAAATATAAATAAAGTTTTATATCAATAAAATAAAATAAAAATAATTTATAAAATATATATATACTTTAATAATCGAGAGATTTTTAAGATTATAACTTAAAATAAAATCATAAAAATTTATATTAAAAATGAATAATATCTGAATATTATAAAATTAATCTTTTCCTCTTAATATAAAATATTTTTTCAAACAAATAAAATAATAATAATATGAGCCCAACACTATATATGATCACCTAAAGATCCAATTGAGCATCACCACAAATTACTTGAATCTTTCAACCTCCAAACTAATCAATGTAAGCTGCTAGTCAAGCAATTGCAATAGCAGTGGCAGCTACAGCAGCGCCTGTTACTTTTTGCTGTGACATTATTTTACTTCGTTGCTCGGTTCCACCATTGGCACAAAGTTGCAGCAAGTCTTTTTAGAGGAATGAACCAAGAGGATATAAAAAATGTTGGTGGCAATATGAAATGATTACTTGTTGAAAGAAAATGGGATCGATATTCTGTATACGATGAAGGTAGGCAATTCCAAACTAGATTCCCAGTAGAAGATATAATATTCCTAGATATGAAGATGATGAAGAAAACGGAACAGATATAATGGTCCAAAGATCCAAACGAATTAAGCCTCAGGAGGTTACAGTTCCACTGCTGTGTGAAACTCCAGGTCTAGATTTGATTGATAATGACAATCTAGTTAAGCCACTATCACAAGTATCTTCGCTTCCTTAGTCTGTTTCAGCATCTTTGACACAAACTCGACACCAGCCACCACCTCCACTTCCATCACAACCACAAACTTCACCAATGATTCTTGAGAATAAAACTATACCGCCATAACTACCACCTTCTCCTCCTTCACCACCACCACCTTCGTTCCCTCCAACAATGGAAGTTCCAAAAGCATCACCTTTGCTTTCATCTCCTATCCTGAATAGAGAAGGTGTAGTGTCACCACCAAAGGTCAGTGGTTTTTCAGTTCATTGTTAAAACCTCCATTGCCCTCTAGAGAGAAAGCAAACATAGAAAACACCACATAGACTATGGTAGGGGAGACTCAAGAGGGAATGGTGCTAACCAAATAAGGTTGAAGCCTCTATATTGGGATAAGGTTGTAGCTAATGTTGATCATTCAACAGTGTGGGATTAGATCAGTTATGGCTCATCCTGGTAAATCTTCCTTGACTTTAAACCTCAGTTTGATTTGTTAGATTTTCTTTATCATGTCAACTTCACAGTGTGTGGTTTTCATTTTCCCAACTTCATCTACAGGTTTGACTATGAACTCATGGAAACCCTCTTTGGATTTTCACGTAACAATCAAACTCAAGAAAAAAATAGGTGTCTCTCAACTTCAGTTAAGTCCAACTCCAACTCACCAACTCAATTATTCATTCAGGACCCTCAAAAATCCCAAAACATAGCAATTGTGCTAACATCTTTTGCAGTTTCTGGCAACGGAATTCTGGATGCGCTCCATGATGGTCAAGGACTCGGTGCTGAAACACTTGAAAGTCTCACTAAAATAGCTCCTACCCAAAATGAAGAAGCCAAAATCATCCAAATCAGTGGCAATCCAGATAAACTGGCCGATGCTGTCATTCCTCTACCACATCCTGAGAGCAGTTCCAACAGCCTTCATTCATTTAAAAGCATTGCTTTTCAAATCGAGTTATGATTGTGAAGTTATTCAGCTTAAAGAACACCTAAACTCTTGAAAAGGGTTGTAATGAGATGAAATCTAGTGGCCTACTTTTGAAATTCCTCGAGCCATTCTCAAAGCTGGAAACCGATTGAATGCTGGAACTTCAAGAGGCAATGCTCATGGTTTAACTTGAGTGCTCTTGAAAAGCTTTCGGATGTAAAAAGCACAGATTGGAAAACTAGTTCGCTTCATTTTATTGCTGAGCAGGTAGTTCAGTTTGAAGGAAGACAACCAGCTATTGATTTGACTCACAATCTTCACAGTAGCATTGGTGAAAAAAGAAACATCTGTGAACCACATTTAGATAACCTCATACAACAAGGAGGTAAAAGAGTATCTAATGCTAGGTTTACCTGTATTAGGAGGGCTAAGGGATCAGTTATGTGAAGTAAAGAAAGCAGCAAGCACTGAGCATCAGAATTTCATCTGTATGTACTTTACTCTCAATGCTTATGTTACTGAAATTCGACAGATTTAACATCATGTGGGAACAGTGAGAGATGATAATTTATTATGGTAATGAAAGAACTTCTAAGAGTCATGTGAGGAAGAGCTTAAGATGGTGAGAGAGGAATAAACAAGGGTCATGGAACTTGTGAAGAAAACAAACGAGTATTATCTAACAGAAGGTTCCAAATATAACGCGTCAAATCCTTTTCAACTGTTTGTTGACGTGGTAGATGAGGGCGCCACGAAGATTCCCAAACTTCGATTTACATTTTTTTGCCATGTCAGGAGCAACATCTTCCAGCCAATCAGATGATGATTTTTGAAACCATATTTTATGTATTTGTATCAATTTGGTTCATGCATGTTGGTTGGAGGGGTTGTGTTGGCTCTTGAATCCAAGGTTTGGTTTACACGAACTTTCACTTCTATGAACTTATGTAAACGATGAAAGTAAATGTTTTGTGACTTTTGTCTGTCTTCTATTTACAGCCAGCAACTAGATGATTAACAATTAAGAGAAGACAAATATGATTGTGAAAGGTTGGACGATTATTAGTGGGGGTAATTCTAAACCCAACGGCTAACATAGGCACATAGCTTTTAACAAAGCACAAGCATGGAATTATCACTATTGGACTATTGGTTGAAGCTTTGTTGTCTCCAGCTTCCGGTCAAAACGTAAATTTCAAGAGTGACAACTGACAAGGGACAAACACCCCAACAAAATTTATTTTTTACCGATAATTATTTAACGACAATAAATTAATTACCTTTATTTTATTTTTTGATAAAAATATTAATGACTAATATATAATGACCACTAAAAATGTATTTATATCACACCAAAATTTATTATTAGTGACAATTATATTAAAAAAAAAATTAGTCCTACATTAACTAGAAATAAGATAATTAATGAGTATATAAATGGATGATAAACCTATAACTTACTATCCTAAATTGGTATGAGATTACTTATCATTATAAAATCCAATAGTTCCCTAAATTTGAGGAGACCGACTATATATATATATATATATATATATATATATATATATATACTTATATATATATAAGTACAAGACAATCTTCATCTTATAAGTCTCACATCAACTAGAAATAAAGTAATTAAAAAAATAAGAAAAGAAAATCTTCATTTTACAAGTCTCACATCGACTAGAGATAAAGAAATTAAAGAGTATTTGTACTCATCTTACAAGTCCCACATCGACTAGAAAGTAAAAAATATCACAAAAAAGTTATACACTTTTTTTCGACCATTATAAGGTTTTTACCAGTATTTAGAATAATTGCCGCTAAAATGTTTTAGCAACACTGCATACAATGGCTAATGTGAAAATGCCGATAAAAAATTCTATAGTAATTTTTATTGCCACTAAAAGTCATATTAAATGCCACTAAAAACTATTTTGTTGTAGTGAAAATATCATGAAAAAAAGAAGTGACATTTTGTGCTAATCTCTTCCTATATCTGTAAAGAAAATGACAGAAGTAACTAGTTTCTCAGCTAAAAAAGTGAAACTTAAAAAATGTCAAGGAAGGTTCAAAGTTAAATGTTCTTGAAAGAAATTTAGCACATAAAATAATAAAAGAAAACACGACATTTTTCAAGAGAACAGGAATCAACCTCAAACAATTGCCGCTTGAAAAAAATATATGGTCTATTTCAGATAAAGAAATTACTCAACATTTCTGGACTAAAATTTATTTTACTCAGCCCACCACTGTTTTTACTATCATTTTTATTCCTTTTAGAATATTTTATCAAACAATAGTAATTTATTTTTTCCATAATCTAACAATACATAAAAACAGTCCTTTAGTCTAATTCACTTCCAATAAAGTTTTTCCTTCTAACAAAACAAAAAAGTATTGGCGAAGAGAGTTTGCAGTAAAACCAAGGCACTGTTGCAAGATACAAAACTCGTCAACACATTTTCTAATATACTCTTTTCAAAATATAAATGGTGTGTTTCTAAATCTCTCCTCTCCATAGTTTTCCTGTATATCTATTTTGTTTTCGGTACACTTCCTGTTTGTAGTTACCCTATTGATTCTTATTTTGTGCTTTACTATCATTGCTAAAATCAAAGGCCAGAATTGTTAACCACCTGTAGTAATTAATACAGCTCCCAACCATGTACACGAGCATCAATCAACGGACTGGGAATATTCCTGCATTTTTTATTCCGCAGGTTCATGCAGAATATCAGATTGCTCATCTAATTTTATCTCCGTAAATTAGACTTAAAATAAGCATTAAAAATATCAGCCTCATCTAATGTTTTGAAAGCTTAACCAAGATCTCAGGTTCGTAACCAAGATGTTACATTTAAGTTGTGAATATTCAGCTATAATACTTAGAGAGGAATATCTAATAAGTTTTGATTCGGTACCTTAAATAAGGTCTTCTATTTATATATAAAAATAAAAAATAAAAAATAAAAAAAGTTATTAAGAAGGAAGATCCCACTAAGAATTATTAATAAGATGGTTAGAGAGATTTTTGAGATTCCCAATAAAGATTACTAATCTCAGAAACTAATACTAATAATATTAATAATTATGGTTATTGAAAAATATTTAAAAAGATATTTAATATTAGTACTGATGATAGTTGTGACCGGCTTCAACATGATTGCATTTTATAATCTATTAAAAAGAATGCATTAATAGCTGTGAAAATCAATTACACTAAATCTGGTTCCCAAACAAAGCCATGCAAATCTACAACTTGGGAAACGCGAGACGTGAACCGTCCACCAGCGACCGCAACTGAAGGTGAGAAGGAGGTTGGTTCCAGTAGAAACACCACGAAAGATTGCGTACAGCAGTGGTAGGAGCAGAGTGTTCAACCTCAACAACTCGCCCATAATCATGAGCTAGAGCACCCACACGTTGAAGCACTCTTTCGGGGCAAAAACCGCGTCCATCAGGGACCCAACTTTTCCTATCCTTCCACAGTAACCAAACCGTAGCAGCGAACAAAGCACCATCACCATCCGAGTTAACACTGGACCAAGGCTGCTGAAGATAGGTCACCATCCAGTTCCATAGGGAGCAAGAGAAGAAGCCATGTTGGTGTTGCGGGGCAACGAGATGAACCCACACGCTTCTGGCTCGAGGGCAATCACGCAACACGTGAAGTAGAGTTTCGTGTCTATGGCAAAAGGGGCATGGTGAACATGCAAAATCTGAAATTTCAGAAGGAGATTCTTCTGTAGGGAGGCTATCATTCAAGGCCAGCCATAGAAAGATCTTGCACCTTTGTGGGATGTGCAAACACCAAAGCCACCTCCATTGATCGCTATTAACCATGCCTTTCTTTCGCTTGGTGCAGCCAAGGAAACTGACAAGTGTATATGTACGAGATTGCAAAGAAGTTGTCAAAGCTTCAAACCAACTTCCTCAATAAACGCAAAAATTTAAAGGTAACCATATTCTGTCACAAATATTAGCGGGTTGCTTGGGTAACTCAATCAAAATATATCAAAGTATTTAGGTTTGAGTTATGGTCTTAACTATAGAATAGGCTAGCAACAAAAATTAGTCATGCTTCCTGTGGTGATATTTCTTACCAATAAAAAATCTATTGTTTGTAATTGGCCCCCACAATTTTTTTCCAAAACACTCGTGTCTAGCAGATAAGTACTTCTACAGACGCACTTTCACTCGGCAATCCATTATTCCCTTAGTTTTACCAAAAAACATTGGTTACGTCCTTTCCTTTTTCCCAATTAAAACTAAACTGAAATGACAAGGGAGAAAGTTGAATCCATCCATACGAATATTTTACTCGCACCAAATTTTGTTTGTAAGCACAAACATGCTTCAAAGGTCAGCAGAACCTAGCTTCAGTTAACAATTTTTTTAAAATAAAAAAAATCGATTCTTTTTGAAAGGTTCTAAAAAGTGAATTTAGTTCCGATTGACAACTAAAAAGTCCCTTTCTTTTAATACTCAAAAGGGTAAGACGCGCCTAACAGAAACTAGACAGGAAATGAAGTACATTCATTTGGCAGATCCTTACTAGATGCTGCCACTTTATCGCAAACAGTTGGAAACTTTGAAATGCAAAATGAAAATATTAGAGCGCGTTCCAATTTAGAAGGCTCAATTTTTACGCAATGGTGATAGCAGCAAGAAAATAAACTACGAATATAGCAACTTGATAGTTACTTGCTAGTTGCTACACTTGCACCTTATCCTAAAAGAGATATTGGGCCCAACAAAGAACAGATTCGTTACGAAAGCTTGGCTGCCATTATCCTAAATTTCAGCATACAAAATGTAGTAAGTTAGCATGCACGTGGATTACATCAACGAAAAATGTTATCAATTCAGACAAAAGCAACCGTAATGTTCAATCACAAACAAAAGATATTTATACTGAGACAAGGGGAGTTAAAGGCGTAAGACCCATTCGAATATTTTATGCGCAAACCTTAACGTGGAGAACGTAAATTGTATCCATAAATAACTGGTTTGAAATATTGCGATTCAGTTGTGTTCGAACATGATTTTTAGATCCAAGTCATGGTTGTAAAAAAATTACCCAATTGTGCGAAACCGTGATTTCACTAATTATGATCGATACAGTAGTACCGGAAAAGCATAATGGCTTAAGACTGAAAATGCTCTCAAGATATTAATTAGTTGGCTATCCATAATAATCTTTAATTTTTAAAACCTATCTTTTGCCATAAGCATACGCTACAAATCCACTGCAAACCAGATACAGCTTGATCAAAATCTTACCCACCTTCCTATTTACAAAACTGAGCTAACTAGCCACAATAACTAATGCCAACAAACAACAATAAAAAGGAATATTATTATTGGTTTCTTAGTGCGTACAGCATGCACAATTTAGGAAAAATGAGGCCTCGTGTCATTTCCTTGAATAAGAAGAATACAGAACAACCATGCAATCAGAAAAGAAAGATAGGGGTACGTCCCACATCTAATTTACTCCCATGGAGGGCATGTTCAATTACATTTCCATGTGTTAATTATCTTGTGCATGTTTCCACTCCCAATAGCCCAAAGGTCTTCTGTTAGCAAAGCGACATTTCAGCAACTGCTGTTACTATATAGCACACTGATTGCTTGAACTCAAAATATTTATCTTAGTCTCCAAATAACCCACTCTTTATCTTGCTTCCAAACATCATCAAATAAAAAAATACGATAGACCTACCACTAGCTGAACAACCTGGTTAAGGTAAGCCTCTATGCATTCGTATGTCTCAGTTCTATATGTCAAATACTTGAACAATAGTGTCATCTATTTGGCATCAATTTTGTTGGAAAAACACATCCAACGGGATGTACGTGCAGGCCATAAATGAGAGAAAAGAAAACCAATCTTTTTATCTTTAGGATCTTATGATGAGTAAACGGTTTATATTTCTCATAAGGCCAGCCCTTCTTCAAATGAGCATTAACATGATGCAAATACAGACTGTATAACCAAAAGCTCACGAGGCAATGACAAATAATTATCAGTACCTTTCATGTGATCAGTTCCATTGTCTACACTACAACAAACCCCAAACCAGTAACTGCAGGGTAGACAGAGAAAAGGTTGTGAAAAGCTTGCTACCAAGTATGGAAAATGACCACAGATGAAAATATGATAAAACAATAAAAGAGGCACAAAATATGCAACTGTCACTCAATTAAATGTACATGTTCTTCATATATTCATTACACCAAGCAAGCAAAAACAATTTTCGTTCCAAAATTTCCACTTTCCTACACTCCATCTTCTCAATCAAGTGAACCTAAGAGTATAAAGATATTATTCATCTTCTCAATTGTCATTCATTTTCATACAAGCAGCCTGCTGATCTATCAAAGAATGGTTGTTTTAAGTAACTAGATCATATTTTTCATATTATTTATAACCAAAGTACTCCCTTACATTTACATAGCTATACAAATAATTCAATTTCCCCGTTTTATGTTGAGATTAGAACTGGGCCAGCTTATTCTGTGGGTCTCTTGGTCATGGATGTAAACAGATAAAGGAAGGAACAAAATACAAAAAAAGATCTATATCAACGTAGAATGAGTAAGTTTATACATAGTACAATAATACAGACAAAATTTAAAAGAAGCACCAATTTCAAAGAATAAAAGGAATCAAGATGATCTGATGAAATCAAAGGTAAACCAGTCAAGTGCCAATTATCAGAACCCCAAGTAAGCAGGAAGGCAAATTATTCTTTGACTAAGACTGAATCATACCTACAAGTTTCATATACAGCAATGACATAAAGATATTCCCATACCTTGAAACACTTGAAAACCCTATTGACCTGTCCTCAAATTTACACTTAACACCAGTATATTGGTTCCTATAAGAAAATCAACGGGAAACAAAAAATAATGTTCAAATGTCATCAAGAAGCTGCGTTTACAATGTTAACTCACTTTAAAACAAGATATCCAAGAATCCCAGATCACTTTCAACTAAAGAGTGTTGGTTATAGACTTGCAAAGAAGGACCAAAATTCAACAATGGCATATATTGGATTTATGCAAGATGGTTCAGCAACAAAAAGATGCATCAATATTAAACGAATTCTAATTTTGCATAACTGAAATTTGTCAAATGTAATGAAATACTAGAAGCCAAAAAAAAAAAAAAAACAAAAAAAAAAAAAAAACAAAAAAAAAAAAAAAACAAAAAAAAAAAAAAAACTGACAGAATTTTTGAACTATCATTGGTGGAAGCACAAGGCAGTCGAATGATGCATCCATAATAAACGGCATATATTGGATTTATGCAAGATGATTCAGCAACGAAAAGATGCTTCTGTATTTGCAAGACTGAAATCATGTCAAATGTAATGAAAGACTAGAAGCAACAAAACAATACCGGTATTTTAGTACGATCATTGATGGAAGAAAAAAAAAATGCATAAGCCAGTTGAATGATGTATCCATATTAAACAGCACATATTGGATATATGATAGATGGTTCAGCAACAAAAAGATGCATCCTGTAAAACAAATTCCAATTTTGCATAACTGAAATTTTGTCAAATGTAATGAAAGAATAGAAGCAAACAAAACAAACTATTGGTATTTTTGTACCATCATTGATGAAAAAACAATCCACAAGCCAGTTGAATGATGCATCCATATTAAACAGCATATATTGGATTTATGCAAGATGGTTCAGCAACAAAAAGATGCATCCATTTAGACGAATTATAATTTTGCACAACGGAAATTTTGTCAGATGTAAAAAGACTAAAAGCTAACAAAAAAACTAATGGTATCTTTGCACCATCATTAATGGAAAATAGATTGTACACAAGCCAGTTGAATGATAGATATGTGCTTTTGAAAATCTTTAATTACCTACCACTATCAGTATATCAAGTCTTAAGAGCTATATGCTAATATTGCCAACACAATTCCATAAATAGCAAGTGCTTTTAAGAAATGATACATAATTTGGACAGAAATATTACTTCCGAGCAACAGAATAAGCAGAAAAATTCCCATGACTCTTCCATCTTTCAGAGACAGTAAAACATTAATAGACAGCTTGGCTGGCGGGGAATGGAGGATAGAGAGGAAAATGAGGGGCAACATCCCTCTCTAACTACTGCCTCCCCTCCAATTTTGGGATTTTATTTTCCCTTCCTTCCCCCTCACCTCCACTAAACTAAACAATCCATAAATCAAGACAGGAAAATCATATGGACCATTGTTGGCATACACCTCCAATGCAGTAATATATAGTTACAAATATCTGCAATAGTGAGGGATGAGGAAACAGGACAGCATCATAAGTAGCCTCCGAATACAACAAATCCAAACGAGAGTGTGTGTGTATAAATATAATACATTGCAACACCACAAAAAATTGAATAAACATAATCAGAAATAGGAGCTTTTCAATTAAACATGATGATTTAGATAGAAGTATTAGAATTTGGAGTAGAGAAACTGTACACAGAACACGAGTAAGTAGAAGCATAAAGGAAAATAACCAGCGTGATTCAACCATTTTCAATGTATTGAATTTCTATACCACCTTATGTATTCACATACCAACATGAGTACTCTACATTACCACATGCACCATAAGATCAAACGAGAAACAACTTGATTTCAAGGTGCTCAAAAGCTCATAATACTACGCCAACTAAACCTATGAAAATTAGATATCCCCTAAAGTACAGACGATGCAACAACGCGAAAAAAAAAAAGCACAGACCGCGGGCTCAAGACCTCTCGATCATGCTGCAGGAGCGTGCCAACCGAAGAGTGAGGCTGCCTCCAAGCACACTGGCCTCCGTCTCAACAGGCTCACACTCATAGGGCTTCCTACACCCAGGACAACGGCCATCCTCCTCGAGAATCCTCTTGTGGCAAAAGAGGCAAAGCCGAAACCCACACAGGCAGGGCATGAAACTCGTGTCCGTCAAATCGAGATCCTCACAGCAAATCGGACACGAGGATGGCGTGGAGGTGCGACCCCAAGGGACCCCTCCTACGCAACGCCGATCAGGGTTCGGCATACTGTGCTGCTTAGACAAATTGGGCAAACTCTGAGGGCGAAAGGCATCATCGGCCCTCCACGCTCTGCTATTTCCAGAGCCCCAAGGAACCAATCTACCACTCTCGGGTTTTGAATTCGGAGACCCCAAAGTGGACCCCTCACAGGGCACAACCACTGGGGGCGAATCCGAACAAGGGTTTTCACGCTTGTCATCGGCGGCTAAGGCATCCGCCATAGCCTCCCAATCATCCAAGCATCCATCATCATCATCATCAACATTAACATCACCTTCTTCTTCTTCCTCCTCCGTGACGTTCCCGGAGCAGCACCCACCGCTACTAGAGCTACTGCTGCTGCTGCTGCTGCCGCCACTGCTGCTGCCGGTGAAATTCGTCCCCGAATCGTTTCCGCAAAGCACGCCAGCGGGACAGTTCGTCGGAGATTCCGAATCGCTGTCGTGATGGATCAATCCATCGTCCACTTCGCCTCGGCGCCTGGTGACCAGTGGCTGCAAGTGTTTCACCGCCGGCGACGGCGGCGCGTGGCCGTCATCATCCACTCCGTCCTTGGACCCCTTGCTCTTCACCGCACCTGAAACTCACCGACACGAATCGGAGAACGTAACGGAATCAGCAAACGAACGGATCAGAAAAAACAATGGTGCGCGCGTCACGTACCTTGAGATAGCCATTGCTCGCGGCGCGCATCAATTTTGTACTGCTTCAATTTCGCGGACCTGTTGGTCTGAAACACGCAGAGGATTACGATGAGAACGGAAATGCGTGTAACACAAATGAAATAAACGAAAATCGGAATCCGAATACAAATCGAAACGAGAACCGTACCCTCTTCTTCTTCCCCGGGTTCTTAGTGTTCGCGGCGGAGGGAATCGGCACGGCGGTGATTGAATCGGAAACCATGGCTGAAACGCTGGATTGGATTTCAGAAAATATGAGATTCGCAAAAACCCTAATTTGTGAGGGAGAAATGAGAAGATAGAAAATTCTAGAGAGAGAACAACAATGGATCACGGTAACTCCTCTCTGATCCTCTTGCCCTTTTTCGTATTAGAAGAGGTCCAGGTTTGAATTTTATAACGTACTTAATTACCTAAATGCCCCTTTCTTTTCATTAAATTCTCACGACTCGAGGCGATGATTTGTGGATATTCGAAGCAAAACTAGGATATATTTGTAAAAATAAATACGAGCGACGCAAGACGACGTCGTTGATGTTGTTGCTATACGTAACCATATTTTAACCTGATATTTTTTAATTCAACTAAACTGTCGCTTTAATTAATAACAACAACAATTCTGACATGTTTCGTCCCTCGAAAGATAAAAGGAACATATAATTACTATTTAGTACAATTTTGATCATTACTTTTTAGTCACCACTTATTGTTAACCAGCAATTTTAATTATTTTATCTTAAGTCTTTTATTTTTAAAATTGTGAGATTTTAATACAATTGTTGATTTAACATCGATAACAGTTAAGTTTTAATAGTGATGGTTGGTCAAAATTTTATATTTTAAAAATCAGTGAAATTCAATGTTTTTATTATAATAAATGATGAAAATTATATATTAACAAAAATATTATATCAAAAATATAATCCAGTTTAATTACAATTTAATAAATATTTAATTTGGTATAATTAACGTTTATAATAATAAATAATTTATTTCATAAAATTAATTTTTATATTTATAATTAATAAGTTATTTTATAATATGAGATTTTTTTATATTTATTAAAAAAATGAATATTGATTTAGAAAAGGAAATAAAAAAACATATTTTAAAAATTTGAGAGATTTTGTTGCCTAATTATAAAAAAAAATGTATGAAATACATATTTAAAAAAATACTTTCACTCTCATACACACATCGTGACTTTAATTGTGACAGAGCACCAAAACACACACGCGCAAATTCCGACTTTGATTTTAACAAACATTTTCTTGAATAGAGAAAATTACATGTCAAAACATCCTTATAAAAAAATTTAATGAACATAATTGAATTAAAACATGATTTTGGCACTTCAAAGGTCATTATAAATAAAGGTTCACAAGTTTTAGCCTCAATGTCACAATTATTATAACATAATCATCCCAGAGCAAACAAAAACAATGAAGCATAAGCCTCCTTTAAAGCATCGTCATGTGTCTCTAACTAAACATCACATGTAAATGATAATCAATTCAAACAAGAATAATATGACAACAACAAGAAATGAAATACATCTCATATTTTACTCAAAGTATAATAATAGTGGAAGGTAAAACTTACACAAAGGTTATAAGACATTCAACACATCACATATCCATTCCAAACACATACATATGATTCAATGCAATGTCTTTGATCATCTATCTTATGGCATTTGCTACCAAGTCAACATATTTCAAAAAGTGAACCAAGAGGATATGTAATTAACTCACTAGTATAACATAGGATACAACTATCACCATACACTCAACTATTAAGATATTCCCCGATGACTAGTCAAGGTCACCCAACTACAATAGTATATCCTAACTCACATGAGATGAACATGGATCATTGGAGTTTTCCCATTAGAAGTAATCTCACTTATGGTCTAAGGTTAACAACCCTTTATAACTTCCCACCATATTGGTTCCTTAACCACGTTCTTAGAAACAAATTTTCATTGTATCATAATTTTGCTCACACAACCAAATATCACATGGAGGCTCCTACCTCTTTTGGCTAGGCTCTCATTCATATCAAAACGTAACATATCATACCATGACATTCATAATCATTAGTTATTATTCATAATCATTAGTTATTATTCATAAAGTATTCATACATATCATCAATTACAATTATTTAATGAACATTACAACAAACTCATAGGATGACCTCATACTTAGTACGACCTCACAACCATTATATTTTATGATCTCACACTTAAAAATATAACAGTCATGTTACTAATATATATTTTTATTTTTATAATATATAACAGTGTGACGTAACTTTAATAATATTTTGAAACATGCATAAAAGAAAAACACGTAAAGCAATTGTTCTTAAGTATAGGCTAACAACAAGAGTCAAACCCATGTCATTTTAGAATATGAATCTGTTCCTTAGCAATTGAATCAACCTTTGTTAGTTCCAAATTATCATTATACTACCTTTATTTTCTCTCTCTACCTTTACGTCGGACATTCACAAGAGTCGACGTAAAAAAGTTGGAAACAAAAAAAAATGCGTGCAAGCAGAACGGGCCGTTTTCCAAGAAGCACGGGTCGTTCTGATTGAAGAACGTCCCATTCTGCTTGGAGAACGAGTCGTTCTGCTTGCAGATCCACCCAAACGCAAAGCATTTTCTACTTGGTATTAACTTAACAAACGATGATCCACCCAAACGCGAAGAAGAGAAGAATATTAACTAATATATTAATAGATCAATACATACATTTATTTTCAACATATTAGCTAATATATTAAGAAAGGATTTTCCAAACTAACCTCAAACGCGAGCCCAATGCAATCGGTCAAAAACTCCAGAACCACCCAAACGCGCAAACATACACTCAGATGCAATACACTCAAAGGAAATCTTAACTCAGAAAACTCGAATGACACATACATTCAAAGCTCTATTGTTTAAATATTGATGCGCACGAATACAATCCGACGTAAAAAAGCAAATCTACGTCAGATATAGCTTATATTCGACGTAGATTTGCTTTTTTACGTTAGTCCCTATGAGGTCTGACGTAAAAAAGTTAGACTTAATTACAAAAATGCCACCGTATTTTTTTAACGTTGAATTTTTCTTTATCCGACGAGAATACAGTGATGTAAATTACTCTTTTTCTACTGGTGGATCCACTAAAAAGTATAGACAAAAAATGATTAGAAATCTTGATATTTCCTTTATAATAGGTGTGTGTATGTATAATTTTTTAATTTGTAATTTTTGAAATGATTTTCATTTTTTTTTTAAATTTGCGGACTTTATCTATATATTAATAACTTTAAATTTAAAGATTAGATCGTTTAAATTTGATGTAGAACACGAGTTATTGAACGAAAGTAAATATAGGTAAACTTATTCTTGTAGTAAATGAATCTCTCCTTATATATATATGTGTGTGAAACAAATATACAATCCATTAAAACTAATTAAAGAAGTTAAATCAATTAGTGTTAACTAATAATGTCATAATTTAAAATTTTATTAAAAAATATTCGTTAAAAAAATCATCTAAGTGATAATCTATAATATCTATAACATATAATAAAGGAGATTGTCTCATTTGGTGTACACATTCTTTAAACGATTTTATCCTTAAATTTTTAAATCATCCGGTGCACACATTTTTAGATAATTTTATCTTAATTTTTTAAATAATAAAAAAAATTAAAAATTAATCATTTTTACAAAGATAAAATTCAAACTCAACCTTTAAGTTTAGAGATTAAATATAACACCAATTAATTGGTCAAATATTAATAATTTTTAAATATTTTTATTAAATAAAATATAAAGATACCAAAAATTTTAAGTCTACTAATTATATTTAATATCGTTACTCATAAGTCAATTAATATATTATTTTCAACCAATAACTCACAATAAATACTTAAACTTTCATAAAAATAATTGGTTGAATCATTAATATATTTGTAAATATTCCATTGAATATATTTATTTTCATAAAAATTAGTAAATAAGAGATTCATGATAGATTAAATAAATTACCGATTAGTATAATTATGAATAGACGTACAATTTTTAGAATTAACACTAAAATAATACTCATTTATTTCTTATACATATACATATAAATAGAAGTAATATTTTATAGATGTTAAAATATATAATTTATACCTGGACAATTAAAATATAATAATGTCATGAAATGTAATTAATTTGTTATTTACCTCTTTTTTATCCTTTCCATGCAAGTAAGAATATATTATTTTAGATTAAATTATATTTTAGTTGTTATATATAGCATATTATTTAAATTTAGTCGTAAAATTATAAATTAATTTAATCATTGTATTGGAATTATTTTTAATAATGTGCATCGTTTGTCATTAGTATATAGATTTTGTCAAATATAAAATGTCTGGCAATAAGCACGTCACTGAAAACAATAATTACAACATAATGATTAAAATTGTATTGAAAAATAATATTATCTAAAAATATAAGTAGTATACTATTATAAAGAAGTATAAGTGATATCTATTGTATTAAAGTTAACATTGTCTATAAGTCTTTTTCAAGATGCAATAAAAAGAAGTCATTATGATGAAATAAACTAATCTATTATATTTTATTTAGTTATTTAGTGCACAAACAAGATTTTAACACTTTGTCCTAATATATAATTATCTATCATATTTTGTTTATTATAATAGTATTATTGTAACAAGATAAATTATTAAAATAAAAAATTTAATTAATATATTATTTTTAATTAATTATATTATAAATTTAAGTTCTGTTATATATATATATATATTAAAGTGGTTGTTATATTTAATGTTAGTTGTAAATAAATGCATAGAAAATATAATTAACAATTAATGAAGAGTATAAAAGAAATTTAACTTTAAGTAACTTTAAAATCTAATGATTTTTATTTATTATTATAACTCAAAAAAAAAATTATTACTTATAATTGGAACTAGAGATAGAAAGAAAAAAAAAATAGTTAAAGGACAATGATTCTTCCAAATATCACTTTTGTATCAATTAATTGATGGTGGTTGAGAAAATTAAGGTACTTAAATTGATAATGAATTATTTAGTTATGTCTTTTAAAGTAAAGATAAAAAGGGGCAAAGGAGAATGTATCCTCAAAAGACCATTTTATCTATATTAATTGGTGGTATTTTTGAAAAAATGAACTTACCTAAACTAATTATGAAATTTTGGATAACATTTTTCGATGTGAGGAGCAATAAGAAGTAACAATGCCCATTTAGACATCATATTATGTGTGTCACACTTATACTTACATTTGATGTATATAATAAAAAAGTGCATACA